TKGKWWKGSCCATATATATTATTTATATTTATATACATTTTATATATATTTATAATATTATATATATAAATAGTTGTATACACAAATAAATAATTTTTTTAATTTTATTATACTAATTTATTTAATTATTGTATATATAAGCAGTTGTATACACAACATTCATATAAAATTAAAATTTTAAGTTTTTATTAATTTTTTTAAATAAATARCTTTGACTTGATGTACGATCAGACCTGGTCCAAGGCTCGACCATGGGCCAGMCCAGCCTACGGTACAACACACACAATGAGAGCCTGCATAGATCTGAACCGTGGACTATACCAGGCCAACCCCAAATTTTTCACCAAAGAAAATAACACAGTCCACTTTACACCTCTATATATTTTTATAGCCTGAAAACATCAAAATTGTATCTTCTTTTCACCAAAAAAACAATAAATACTTTTCGTTGGCAAAAAAACTAATTAATATAACTACGTACTTTAATACTTGTATACATTAGATAGCATTCATGGACCATGGTCTACATCTTCTATATCTTCTGGTTCTACTACTCAAACATGTATTAGTTACAGCATAATAAGTTGGAAAAAGCATGCATGCTAAGTCGTAATAACCCACAGATCTGTTCTAGAACAGAACCTATATATATATATATTAAACATATATATGACATTTGGAGGAGATAGTTATGGTGTCATCATCCGTTGGAACTCCTGAAAATCGAGGACGCCATTGCCGTCGAGATCGAATATCTTGATCATGGCCACACAGTCATCGTATGATTTGGAGTCTCCAAGTCCAAGGCGGGTAAACATCCGCTGCAAGCCTAAGGGTGTGATGCAGCCTGCACCCTCTTCCACTTGAAACATGTCGAAAGCCTGTTTCAGGTCGTCTTCCCCATCACGTTCCATCAAACGTACAAAATCTGCAAAATCCAACAAATTGTCTCCATCGGAGTCAAGATCACTTATCACCTCTTCAGCCCTGTGCCGTGACATGTTTTCGCCTATGGACCCGAAGTAGGCTCTAATCTCGTAACTTGAGATCTTTCCATCTCCATCACTGTCCAAGTAACGGAAAACCTTCTGGAATTGGTCTTCTCTTGTGCTGCCCTTTGGCGTAAGCTGAGCCAGAGGAGGAGGAGGGGTGCTCCTTGAGCTGTTGTCCCTGTCAGTTTTAGGAGGATGAAGGCGAGGGAGGTTTAACTTGAAGCTCTTGCTGGAAAACCATTTGGATGGCTTCGGGATGCCTAATGTTGCCATTAGAGACTTTTAGAGGACTGGTTTCCACGTACAACAATGTAAAGATAGATAGTGACGAATCTGGCAGACTACTTATAAATAGCTAATAACTAGCTAGGCTGTGAGGGGAGCAAGTTGAGCTGTTAGTTTGCAGTGCAGAGACTGAGAGACAGCAGGTTCCCAGAACTATGACTGGGTTCAGGGCAACTTACCAAAGAAACTTGCAAAGAAGTTGCGTTATTAGATAGAGGAGATGGGTAGGTCACGTAAAAACATGGAGTCGAGACTGCAGAGAGAGAGAGAGAGAGAGGAAGCTGCATCGCAACTTCCTGGCGTACCAGCAAATTTCTTTGCTCTCTAGTCTCTCTTTCTGTAAAGTAACCTCGCATTAACAAATACAACCTTCTGTCCATCTCTATCAAGTACGGACGATTCAATTAAAGTCCATTCAGGGCTCAGGATAACTTGAAAGGTGGAGCGTGGAGGTGATTTCCTCCACACTATCCACAGATATTCTTCGTGTCCTAACTTAATCCAATATATAATTATATATAGCTAACGACGCATTGAGCTACTTTTTGTGGAGCCAACCATACCACCAGCCGTCCGTCCAATCCGTCCCTCCACTTGTAACACAGGGTGTGATGAAACTCCAATAAATTAAATTAAAAGGATAAATAGACTGCATTTCACCTCAAAAATCAGAAACTATATAGCCTCTTATATATARCCTCTTATATCCCTATAAACCGTTGCACGTGGATTTGGCGTCATGTTTTTTAAAATCGGATTTGATCATATGGACGGACTGGAAAAATTGGGAATCGGTCAGGTGATTAATTCCGTTTTTTTTCAAAATTGGATTTTTGTCAAAAACGCTGATTTAATCAATAAACTGTTGATCCGGGCAGTTGAATCGTTCGAAACGTTTGAACCATTCAATGTTTTGATCGTATTTTAATTTCTTTTATTTTTTTGTCAGAACGGGCCAGCCATTCAACCCGAGAATTAGACACCAGACCGATTCGTTGTCCAGATCAATTTTAAAAACCTTCTTTACATCAATTGACRGTCAAGATTCATCCCACTGTACAGTAAGATTAAAATTTCTGAGATGTACTGAACAATAAAAATATCTGTTCACCCTATTATATTGACTGTGAACTGTGCAGCTGTGACAAAAAATGATATAAAAGCAATAAAGGATGAGACGCCTTTTCCGTTCTTACCGTCTGATTACATGGGTATTCAAGTTTTAAAAAAGGGAAATTTGCAAATTAATAACCTATATTTTGGGCCTAGTCTCATTTTTGTTCCCCAACTTTAAAACATGTCCTCTGTCTAATAACACAACTTGTTTGCCTTTGGTAGAGGAGAGCCTGTAGCAGCGGCAACATCTGCAACTTCTCCCTTGGATCATATCCCATTTCTAATCGGTAGTCAGTTGCTACCAAAATGGGGGATGGCCCCGTCCGCATCACTGGCTCCAACTGAAGTCGTGAACAGAGCTCCCAAGTTCTCATGTCAACCATCCCACTGAACCAAGTTATTCCCTTGAAGTTGAATAGTCGCAGAAGCGTCTCCATCTTTAATTGGGCGTTATTAGTTGCACCATGTAAGCATTGTTTTTCCACTCATTAAAATCATTTGACAACCGTTTTGCTAATTCGAAGATTTGATTCAAACTATCGTGGGTATTTGCATAGTAATTCCCGAATCTTAGTAGTAGGTAAGTCGACTTTCAATCGCAATTGAGTCAACCTTCATCATCTATAATCGCAATTGTGTATAGGCATACAAAAAAAAAAAAAAAAAGATTGCCGCTTTGGTGGCCGGTGCTTGGGTAATCTCTAGAGAAATTAAAAAAAGCAAAAGATAATAACAAAATAAAGAGTGTGAGGTCATAGAGAACATGCAATAGCCATATCAACTTATAATCAAGGTTCAAAGTATCGATATGTATTGAGCCGTATCAGCTGATATGTATTGTATCGGAAGCTTCCCAATACACCCCTATATTGGGTGTATCTAAAAAAAATTAAAAAAGCTATTGATATTGTCCAATACGCCTCTACCAATGTATCAGTTGTATTGATATTTTGAACCTTCCTTGTAACCATTTCTATTGCCTGATATTTGGCTTCAACAGATGAATGGGAGACTAATGATTGTTTCTCAGTCTTCCATGAGAGAATAGACGATCCCAACATAGTCACATATCAAGTTGTGGAGCGATGTGTTAAAGGACACATGGCCCATTTTGCTAGTGCTGGATTAGCTTTGATGGATCGAACTATCCTTTTAKCAACTTGCATGTGTTCCTCTCATGGATTAAAAAGCTGAGCTCAGGTCGTTTAATGGTCAAGTACATAAAGCGACCTACCAATCTTCTGTATCGCAAAGGATCTATTAGTAATGGGCTCTCAATGTCCATAAATTGTCATTGTTGTTCCATGGGATGAAATATTGTGTTTGCCTTAAGCATTTCAGTCTTAGTAATGATGTCTAAGGCATATTTATGCTAGCAAAAGGAAATGCTTGAATCTGTCCTAGTGATTTTGAGGACTAAAAAATACCGAAGTGGGCCCAAATCCTTGAGATGAAAGCATTTRTTAAGATGGGCTTTAAGAGCATCAATTCAAATTGGGCCATATCCCATAATGACCAAATCATCAACATAAACAAGAACGGCCACAAAAGAGTCAGATTGTGCAAAAGTAAAGAGAGTAATCTGCCACAAACTAAGTGATTCCAAATTTACGAAAAGCATCAACAAGCTTCTCAAAACAGCAGCGAGATGCTTGCTTAAGGCTATACAAAGATTTTTTAAGTTTACATACTTTGTTCTATGCATGTTTAGGAAACACCAAAGGAATGGACATATATACTTCTTCTATCAAGTCGCCATGTAAAAAGGCATTATTGACATCTAATTGATGTAATGCCCATCGTTTAATAGTAGCATGAGCCAACAAGTAACAAAGTGTTGTCAATTTTGCAACAGGTGCGTATGTGTCATGATAATCCTGACCTTCAATTAGGGTATAACCCTTGGCTACAAGATGAGCTTTGTATCACTCAATTGTTCTATTTGCCTGAAGTTTTAATTTGTAAACCCATTTAGACATGATGGGCTTCTTGCCAAGAGAAAGATCAACAATTGTCTAAGTATGATTGCATTCTAGACAAGCAATTTCATCATCAATTGCTTTACACCAATACAGAGGCAGTTCGATCAGATCGAACTTGCCAAGGACATATTGGACAGTCTCAAGATGATGTATGAAGAGCAGAATCGTTCTACTCGACAAAAGGTTTTGAAACAGTTCATGACCGCATAAATGTCCAAAGGGCAACAAGTTCATGACCATTGTCTTCGGATGATGGGCTACATCAATGAGCTTGAAGCTCTTGGATCCGAGCTGGACCTTGCGACTCAGATAGACGCTATCCTTAATTCTTTGCTTCTTTTCTTTAATCTGTTCATCATGAACTATAACATGAACAAGCTGAATGTCAGCTTGCAAGAACTCAGCAATATGTAACGAGCAGAAGAACTTATTAAAAAGGATGAGCCTGTAGCTCTGCTTGTTGAAGCTAGCAAGACAGGCAAGAGAAAGAGGAAAGCAAAGAAGCCTCAGAAGAAAGCCACTAAGGGTAAGAAGCAGAAGAAAAGACAAAGCATCGGATGCCTGTCACTTCTGCAAGAAGACCGACCACTGGAAAAGGAACTGTCCTGCCTACCTGGAATCCAAGAAAGGTAATTTCGAAACTAGTGTTATAGAAACCAATTTATTGGTAGCTTCTGCGTCCTGGTGTATTGACTCCGGGGCTTCAACTCATGTGTGTAACTCACTGCAGGGGTTCAAGGTAAGCTGAAGGCTGAGTGAAGGAGAAGTTACGCTCTACTTGGGGACTTCTGCAAGTGTTGTAGCCACGGCCATAGTAACTGTGGAGTTAATTTTTAGAGAAGGAACTATTGTATTGAAAGATTGTCTTTATGTACAAAATTTAAGAAGAAATTTGATTTCTGTCTCAAAACTGTGTGCGGATGGAACTTGAGACCRGTCTCTATGTTCTACATCCTTCTCTAGAAAATAACATAACCGAAACTACATTGGCTGAATCCCCAAGAAAAGAGTCTGTGAAACAGTTAATCCCACGTGCCTGTGGCATTATCGACTTGGCCATATCGGTGTTGACCGAATCACAAGGTTGGTAAATGATGGTCCTTTGGATTTTCTAACTGTAGAAGATCTTCCCACTTGTGAGCCTTGCCTACAAGGTAAGATGACAAAATGGCCATTTAACGGTAAGCCTGAAAGATGTACAAGCACACTTGACCTTATACATAGTAATGTATGTGGTCCCCTGAGTGTTAGGACACGGAATC